TCCGTTGGGTCGTCATAAGATTACTCATCATCAGACCGAACCTCATCCCACTAAACCCCAGTATGCCACAGGACTTTGTGACAGTTACCCATTTAGCACCACCCAGGGGGCACGTGTGACTTAAGGATAATCACGGACGCGGGTAACATTACCCCCCAAAATCTACTTAATTACTCTTTTCTAAAATAAAAAAAAAAGTACTACTTTTTCTAAATACTATGCACTGTATGTTATCCTGCAAATCGCATTATGCATTTGATTTGTGTTGAAATTTCTATAAAATATTGTCAATTAGAGTTGTTATTGGGTTAAAGGTTGGATAAGAAGAAATCAGTTGTATTATAAGTAGAAACTACAGCGGAGTGTTTACACATTTTTAGAATAGTTTCAGATCCATTTAATTAATGTTAAAAATTTAAAGAGTCCTTTTTTAGATGTTCAGTCTTATAGTCTTTTTTTCTGGACTATAAGTCTACATCAGGATTTTCTTGATAGAAGGGCTGTTTCTAAAATTTCCAGCTGTATTTATTTCCATTTCTCTTCCATTGCTTCTCTTCCATGTCCATAAATCATGGTGTATTCCCACTTAGAAAAAGCTCTTTTCAATCGACGAAAGACACAATAGCCCATAGGGAAAACATCAGAGGACTTCACAGGAATACATTGAAAACAATAACTAACATTGAAATATGCAATAACTGTATCAGTCTTCATTTTTTCAAGAAATGCAGTGGTGTTTTTTGAAGTATGACTTGTTGCTTTTTCTTGAAGAAGTTTTACTCTTAAAAAAAAAAAAAAAAAAAAAAAAAAAAATCATAGGGATAAAGAAATGGAATTTCTTCTGCAAATATCAGATATAAAACTTTCTCTTGATTATACGTTGAGTTGATTTTAACATTTTTATCCACTCTTCTTATTTTTAATTTGCATTGTAAGAAAACCCTGTGACGATCATAAATCCCTTAAGCTTTCTTTGCATTGACAGAACCAGGCTTGTATATTCCCCATCTTCATTTTCAATAATAAATAGAGATCTATTTTTTGTTGCAGTTATTTAGTTAAACCCATTTTTCATCAAAGGTCACAATGTACTTCCATTTATATGCTGCTGAATCATTTTCATATAGGATTCTGCAGATTGTTTGGCATTGAGCCACATGCCTCAGCAAAAGCTTGTAAATATTAGGTTTTTTAGCTTTTTTAAGTTGTAAATCTTGGTTTATTGCTTTATTTATTGTTGCTACAGATGTATTTAAAAACTTTGCAATTGATTTGTGCACTGGCGGATTTTTTCTTATTACCAGTGATTTAACTTTAGAAAGAGTATGTCCCTTTTTTGGATTTTATTTGGAATCGTCTTTCCATGTAGAAGTAATGATTGATGGCTTTTCCATCTTTGATTAATAATGTGGCTTATTTTGCACTTAGATATTTTAACACCATACCTTTTGCAATGTTTTTGAATTACAAAAGAGAAAAATTTCTCTTCAGCAAGCTCAAAGCATATTTTTCAATCCACAGCTTGTCACATGCAACATTTTGAAAGAAGGAGAAATCTAAAAGTAGCTGATGACACGTTTCTCATTTCAAATGCTAAGCTGTTGCCTGAAATTTTATCCCAAAGCAATTGCTTTTCAGTTCTTTATAAAAATCATTCTAAAAATATGTAAACATCCTCTGCAAAACATTGCAGTTAGAAAATTTTTCATGACATTAATTTTTGCCAATTTCATTATCACTGCTTTAATATGAAAATATTAAACAAAAATAAAAGTGTATTAGTCATCATCTGCCTATGTACATTGATATATGATGTGATATTTTAAGTCTGTTTACAATTTAAAGCGAATATGTTTATTTTATTTTTTAATCAGTAGTTATTAAAGTATTTAATTAAAAATTATAAATAAGTACTCTAATAAAATATCAGCTCCTGCATATTTTTGTATATATGTTGGATCTTCTGGTATTTTTAAAGGATCAACATTTATTCATCATTTAGAAAGAAAAATGTTTGTTAGCATACGTAAATCAATTCTGAGTTTTTGTTAATAGTTATGTATTTATATGAGTGAAATTCTTTTATGCTCAAACTTCATAGAAAAAGAATCATTGGTGTTTGAAATATTATTAAGTATTTAACTTTAGAATGCCCTCAAAAGAAAAAATCCCCCCCTTTTTTTAACTGCAAATCTGAAATTGTGTAAGTTAATGTCCTCTTACTGTGTAACCTCTTAATTTATTTTTCAGTTAACAGAACTTTGGTTATTTACACAGGTGTATAGAGTAGAATCCCTTTTGGACCTCATAATTCCCAATACAGATTTTTCTGGATGATTGAATTTATAGTTATTGAACTTATTTGCTGGTGTTTTATGATACCATCTGTATGAATTGCAGCATATACAGTCAATCAGTAATGGTTTTGACCTACCAGCCATAATTAAATAAATTATATTATAAATTGTACAGAATATTTAAAATTAAAACACATAATATATGATTATATATTTCAGAAGAAGATGATAAAGCAGTATCTTAAAATTACTATATTCATTATCACATGAAAATTGAAAAATTCTTAATATGATGGCATATGATTTTGAATGTCTACTTGCTTATGACTATTACAGTAATGTGAAATAGTCATTGTGTATACGGTAAAGCTCCATAACATTATGTACAAACATAGATGAACATTTCCCAGAAAATCTTATGAAAGTTTGCAATTCTTCATCAGCTTCCATATAATTTTTTTGCTCTGCTTTGTCATCTTCAACTTCATCCCCCTCCTCCTCATCATTTTCCTTCTTTCCCAGTATAGGTCCAATTATTTCATTATCATATTGAGGGAATATGATAAGAACAGAATTGTCTGCATCCATCCAAGCCTGCACTTCCTCTTCACTAACATTAGTCTTTTCCAAATATGTGTTTGTGATATTAATAAGTTGTCTAACAGAGGCATTGATTGGATGTGCTTTAAAAGGAAGATAATCTTTGTCACTCAGTTCATCACCTACAAACATGATCGAAGCCCACAATTTACATCAACAGAGACCTAAAATAATGATCTTCATATCTTTCCAGAAAAGAGACGAAGTATAAATATGTATCTTTCAATGTAAACTTTTTCTGAAAATCATGGACACTACTTTCAAAGTTCATGCGTGGAGGGATAAAAAGGGATTGATAATACATCTTTATATTCTGGGTGGTTCCTTAATATATTAGTTGGATAAGAATTAATATGTTAAAAAGTAGAAACATATCACAAATATTTTCAACATTTAAAGTTTCAGATTGTTAGTCCTTTATATACTTTTAATCTCATGGGTCTAAATTTTGAATTTAAATCTAGACTTTCGAAAGTGCTATTATTTCAATATTGCTGGTTACAAGGGATTTTATTGTACGACTGCCACTTGATATGTTTAAAAAATGACTGTTTAAAGTAAACTATTTTTTTCTCAAACATTATATTTTAGTACGTAATAATAAAACTGAAATTTCATGAAGTATTTTATTTTTAACATTAACTGATATATTTAGAAAACAAATGGTAGGGGGCATTAATTATTTTTATTTAATTATTAATTTTTTAATTTAATGCAATACTGTAGTTTTTTGTTTTCCCACATTATGATCTGCAGCTGGTGTATTGCTTGTTTCACTTCTCCCCTTTTAAGAAAATTTGATTGCTAAGTCTTTACTTAAAAGCAGTGTTTTCTGTGTATAGGTACTTTTATTAGGAATAATAACTCATAGAATAGTTTATTTCATGCAGGCCAAAAAATAAACAAATTGAATAGAAGTAAAAAATCTGGAATAAAATAAGAGAGGCGGGGTTTGATAGATGAGTGTAGTTTTAAGGATCCCAAAACTTAATTAAGTACTAGAAAAATTTGCTGCATTTGTGTATTCCATAATAAATAATAGGACCTTCATCAACAAATACTTAATGTAGTAAATTGTGGCTACAACTTCAATTTTTTTATATATAATCTTGCAAGATTTTATATATAAGATTATAATAAGAATTTTAGGTATAAGCATTTTTATTCCTGGTATATTAGCCGCAGTATGAAATTGTATGAAATGTTAGAGAATATTTTTCCAGCAGTAAGCAAAATAAATGAAAAAGAAATAGTCATTTTCCATGCTCATTAGGAGTTGACCCAGAAAAAGCTAGAACAGTTTCTCAGAATTCTGAATAAGTGGCAAATGTAAGAGGATAAATTGAAGTAGAAATTGTTAAGCTAGATTTCTCAAAAATTTTAAATGAAATTTTTTCTTTGCCAGCTGGTCTGGTACTAGACATTTTGCTGCCCAGTATAATCTCTGCAGATCCTAAATTTGGCTGATTTGTGCCTCCCTAAATTCTAAAAATTTTGCCTCCTCAAATCTGAAAGTTTTACTACCCCAAATTTTTGCTGCTTGGTGTTCGCAATGGTATTCTTCTAATCCTAAAGGTTTTGCCATCCCATGCAGCTGCACTGGTTGTGGTGTTAACCCTCTTAACTAAGCACTTACATGACCATATTTTAGTTTTGCCCTGAAAATTTACAGCAGCCTTAAGAAAAATTATGCGAAGACATTAGCAAAAGGAGGGGAAAGAAGAAGCAAATCTCTACACAGTTTTTGCTTTTATCTTTTTGTTATTGCTGCTGTTTTGATACATGAAGAGTATTTTGTGCTATTTCTGTAAAACAATATTCTGTTTGTGAAGTATATTTTTTTGTCTTAATTTATTAGAATGACTTCTATCATTAAACTGATTTTTAATAGTATTTATATAAATAAAGAATTAATATTAAATACTGTCTTGGAGAATTTGCAATAAAGAATAAGAATTAAAAATATGCTAAACCTTATAGTAGTGTTCATTGGCAATCATCTAATCAAAACTGATGCATTACATAAAGAGTTTTTTTTTTTTTTTTTTTTTTTTTTTTTAATTTAGCTATTGTGCTATCTGTTAATGAGAAATTTTATTTTAGGAGTGGCATGGCACATACTCAACAGTCTGAAGAAACAAGGGTTTGGTCAAAGAAAGATGGCAAGTGGCAAAATGTGCATTTTCATAGATCAGGTTCTGCTTCATCTCCATTCACAGCAGTTCACAAGTAGAATATCTAAAAGAGAGACGTTGGATTGCAGTCAATGACTGACTTAATACTAGCTGTCTAAATCAGTGAAATCACCCCACCTTGGCATCAACAGTTTTACTGTGTCTTTACAGCAACCCTCTTTGAATATTTTTGCTCAGTTGTTCAGTTGCTCTTGAGCTGTTAGAGTTGCAGTACTTGGATGCAACAACATGTGTGATATGTAGCAAATGATGTGATTTTTAAGTGGAAGCTGTGATTGTTTCGCTGCTACCATGTTCATACTTGCATCTGAAGTTATTCAGAGTGGTAAAAAATATCTCTTATTTTTTAAGTGAGAGAAAGAGGTAAACATTTTGCTACATTTTTTTTCCCTTGTTTCCTGTTCACTAGGTCAGCATAGTGATATTGCACATGTGGAGTTCCAGATTTAAATTAGAAATTTGCATAAAAAAGAACTGATTCAGTTCTGTATTTCATTGTATAGTAGGACCTCAGTTATTTAAGTAATAGAAATTGAAATAATTTAAAGTTTGTTAATGTTAAATTAATTGAAACTTTGAAAGATTTTCTTTTTATTGAAATTTTTTTATTAATGTCCTTAAATTAAAAAGTTTTATATCCTGTTTGGATCTATCCGTAAGCATTAGAAATCTCATCTATAATTATGAGAAGAGATGGGAACTTTGAGTGTTAAAAATCATGTTTTTATAAATATCATTAAAATTTTATGCGAATAATACAAATTTATTGTTAAAATTAATTCTTTAAAGCAGGGGAAAATTGGAATTTTTTTTGCATTTGAAATATTCCTGGCATTATAAAAATACATTTATTGAAAGTCCTGCAGTCATTAATTAGTTTTATATTATACTTATGTTACACTATATTTCCCTTTTCATGGAAGACATTTTTTCTCAAGTTTATGGAAGTTATTGATGTATAATTTCCTATTCATTTTTATGATCTTTATACTTGCTAAATAAAAATTAACAAACTTTGAATGGTTATCATGTACACAACTTTTCACAATTAGTTTCTGGTGAGATTTTTTGTATACCAAAAAGCACACGAAAACACAGAAGTGATAAATTAGCATAATTTTTTTAAATATTTATTCTTGCTTTTTCTTAAAGCCTATGATTTAGAAAAATATGAAACTTTTTTATGGGTTGGATTTTATTATCTCCTAAGTTTAAAAACTTTTTAAAAGCATTTGGCATTAATACATTTTGAAAATTATATTGAAAGTAAGTAAAAATGGTTAACAGCTTTTATCTCATGCTCATTTTTATTCATATTTAATATCCCTCTATGTTTATCTCAAAAACCTCTATATTCATGTATTGTATTATATTAAATTTTTAACCTTATTTAGAAAGGCCAAATAATTGAGGTCTTACTGTGCACAAATTTTAAAAAATGTTCTTTATCTAGGAATTATTAATTAAATATATAGGAATTATTAATTTTGCACTGATTGTGATTCTTAGCTTCAGGATTTTTTTTTTTTTTTTTTTTTTTTTTTTTTAGGGTCCATAATTATTTGAGAATAGTCTCATAAATATAAATATATAGATATCCTATTTCTTGTAAATATAAAAGAATGAGGCTTACTGTGCCTATTATTGAAGTTTTCTCTTCAAGTTTCTATCACTCTAATTAATCTTGAATATATTTCACAGAAGAACAAAATTGTGTGCTGTATGAGTGTGAAAATATTAAAAATTAAAAAAAAAAAAAAAAAAAAAAAAAAAAAAAAAAAAACAATCACAGACCTGCCTTTCAAATCGAGCTCTAGCATCTAGTCATTTCAAATATGTTAGGATATTCTTAATCAATAGAAAATAACATTTTTACTGATATTTTTTTTAATGTATGTAATGCTTAAAATGTATGTGTGTGCATGTCTATCAGCATGCTTGTGTGTATGTTCTCAGCATATATACATGTATGTATGTATTTTGTGATTCACATTTTATGAAGATTAAAAAAAAAAGATTTTGAGATTAGCTATTTATTATTTTCTAAATTCCATCTGTGATTTAAACTCAGATTATTATGACAAATCACTTAGCAGATGGTGCTTATGTATGGAATGTTTCAACTCAGGGAAATCATTTCATTTCTGTAGGCAGGTCTGTCAGTTGTTAGTAAGGTTTTAAAACTTAAATCTTTACAGAGGTGCCAGTTAGTCATTGATTTTTTATGTCATCTGAAGTTATCAATAGTTTGAGTTCACACTTTTCATATTAGAAATCTTCTGTTAAATTTAATGAATTTAACTTATTAGATAGACATGAAAACATTTCTTTTTTATAAATTTGCCAAAGAACTATGTGATTATATGATTTTATTTTTTTAAACTGTGTCTAAAAATTGGTGACTTTTGAGTTTGAATCAATTGAAGTTAATGTTATATAAAAAAATTTTCGCTTTGTGTGTGATGAGTAAACTGAAATATAGACTTGAGTGGGGGTTTAGTGAGAGGGATTAAATTCTAACTTATTATTATTTGAAATTTTTAATAGTAATTTCTGAATATTTTTATTTAAAATTAAATAACTTCTGACTAATTTATATTTGTTTTAACTATTAATTTTTTAACTAGCTCTTAGAATAAAAAATTATTGGTATTTTTCTGTTTCATCGGTGCATATCTCGCCAAGCAGACTTTATTGGCGACAACATACAGTATACACATGAAAAATGTTAGTTTTAAGAATTATTTATTTTGAAGACATAAACATTTTAATATTATTTAAAATTTTGTAAAAAGCCAATAAATAAAGACCAATTAATTTGTAAAAATTTATGGTTCAACATCCTGATTCGCCGGTTCATATCCCGTGACCCTAAGTGATTTCATCTCGTGTAAACTACACTACAAAAATCTACTTCTCTTAATAATTATCTACATTAATTTCAAGTTAAATCTTAATTTGGAATGCAAGAATTATTTCAATTCATACGAATAGCTTACTCAGAAATTATGTAAAACCGTAGTGCTTTACTTTGCTAATGGATTCTCATTAGAATTGATGAATTTAACCCTTGCCTTTTCTATATTTTCAGTGAGGATATTCTGTTTAGCATCAGTACCATTATTGTACCATTATTGGCGACTTTATCGCCTGCACCGGCAAAACAGAAAAGTACCAAATTATTTTTCATATGACTGATATTAATTACCTGCATAAAATTAAAATTTCATTAAAAATTTCACAAATTATTTTCATGTGTATTACTGATTTGTGTTTTCATGCTAAACTTTTAAAAAGTCTTCTGCATGTATTTTACCTGTTTATTTCTAATTTTATAAATCTTTTGATAAGCTTTAAGATATGTGCATTATTAAGATAATTTATATGAGATGTGTCATCAAAATTCATTAAGCTGCCTATTTTCCTATTCAGCACAAAGCAAATTGTAAACTGTACTGCTATTTTTTTGAATATTTTCTTTGTTGTTTTCAAATAAAATTTTCATTTATTTTTATTTTATCAAGAATTTTATGTATTTTTTATGTATTGCAATCCTGAATTCTTTATGGTGTTTGTAAAATATTATCTATGTGTAGGAGTGTTTTCAATATATGTGTTTATAAAAGCATACATTTAATTTTTAGTTAGAAATTTCATTAAATTTCCGAATTTATTTCATTTTCATGAAAATAGGATGGTAAATCTGGTATGTGTTTAATGGATGATATGTTCTTACACTACGCATTGGCACCTCTGCATAATTTTAATTTCATTTTCTGTAACTCAGTATGTAGAAATCTTTTATTTCTCTACTTATATCTCAAGTGCTGTGTAGGGGTGGTGTCACTGGTGATGTATAAAATCTCAAGGCAGCTCTACTTTAAAGATTGGATAACATTTGAAGCAACTTATGTGGCATTGGAATAAGCCAGTGGACACATCCCTTTAAAATTTTCCTGGATAATGAAATTACTTGGCACATTCCATAGATGGACGTTGTGCCTGCTGTTCCTTATTCTATATCTCTTCTTGATGTCTATTTTCGTCAATCCAGAATCACCTGTTAATACTATTGTTGGTCGAGGTGTGCATTTCCGACCGCAAAATGTTAAGATATGCATCGATTGATAGAAGTTGCTCAAATGAGTTTGCCCTCAGAGAGCATTTATATGTAGTTGCAAAGCTCTTATTAATAAACTGCTATCAACTTTTTGAGGCATTGTTATCTAGTCATACTACCAGTAATATTTTGTCTCTGTTTATTTATATTTTTAAAAATAAATGTTAAGTGATTCTGATTTTTTTCCTGTTTTGCTGGTTTATTTTAGACTTTGAATTGACTTCATTTATATGTAGATTAATTTATCATTTAATTCTTTCTAAAGTAGTTTTCTTTTGTTTGCTTTTCATGTGTATTTTTGCAGTTTTTTATGGAAACTGAAAATTTTTACTGACATGGTGATATGTTAAGCCCTTTGCACACTGCCTTATTATTCTAGAAATAATTAGCATATATTCAGCATTACAAATGCTGATTTGTATAATTATTAGGTATGTAATGGTATAAAATGTCTTAAAGGTAAGCTTTTCAATCTGGTTTAGTTATATTAGTTATGCAAGTCTAATATTGTTGCTTTCATCAGACTTTTCAGAAATTTTGCATCAATCTTACAAATTTATTAAGCCTTCAGCAGAAAGAAAATTTTCCTCCTCTTATATATGTATATGAAACTGTAATATTTTGTACAACATAAATGCATGATTCTATTTGTAAATGTTGTAGGTAGTCATATGAGCTAAACATATTTGTTACAACACAGCACTTCAGCAGTGCAACATTTGCTTACTTGGCTCCTTACATTTGTACTGTGGGAAAAGAGGATTTAATTTTTTTAAAAATTATTTTAAACATGTGTGACTATTTATGCTAAGCATTTTCTTTTATAACCTCATTTAGAAACTAAATTTAAGTGGTACTTTATGTATTCCTGCTTTTCTTTTCTCTTTCTTAGAACTCATTATTTATACCAATAATTATTTTGATTATTTCCGGAGAGGTTCCCTCCTGTGTAACAACAGTGAACAGTGCTGTTGTAAATGAACATTACAGAACAAAATATGAAACAAAGGCGAGACACAAGGTTAGAATGTTTATTAATATATTTTTACAGCATCATTTCCCCATTATTGTAAAAAGAAAATAAAGTGAAACAATGCAATACCTTTAATAAACCTAAATATACACTAACTTCACTCAAGACCTTTGTGATTGTTAAGCATAATTATATTGTAATTCCCTTACACTGTCAAAAGTTCTGAAAGAAAAGCATATATAGTTTTAAAAAAATTGATAAATTTTACTTTAATCAAGGTATTTCCTCAAATGTTGATTTCTGTGTCTTGATTAGGATTCAATGGTAATTTTAAAGTGTATTTTTTAATATTCAGTTTCCACTTATTTTTGAAACAAGATGCCTTATCCTTTGTACAGAGAACTCTTGTTCACTTTTTTAAAATAATGGATAGAGATTAGTATAAATATTGTTGTTTTGCACAATATTTAATGTGAACATTAATAGGTCTTAAGAAATATAATAATAGTTTTTAATCATACAAAACGCTTGTAAAATTTATTTTTATTTTATTCCTTATTAAGTTTCATAGTGATCAAAATTTTTGCTTTGTTAGTGTTGTGATTTCATACAAAATTTCATCCTTACCTAGTGTCCAAATATTAAATTCCTTCATATCTGGCAGCAAAATTTGATATGATGCAACTCCTTTCTTTCAAAGGGAAAAATTACTAATTTCTTTAATTAATGTTTTAAATTTTATAAATAGAATGCCGTCAAATAATTAATTTTTAATGTATAATAATCTTCAAACTATTTATTGAATATTTGAAATTCTACTTGCTTTTCTGAGAGAACAGGCTAACTCAGTAATGCTCAGGAGCCTAAGCCATAAATCTAAATTTCAAATTGTTATTTTGTAACAAAAAAGGAAATTAAAAATCTCAAATTGTGCATAGAATTTTAGCTCTTCTATATCTTGTGATATTTCACTACAGTTTTTTGTGATATTTCAAGAAGAATAAAATGATGACAAACTCTACTTGAATTTAGCATTTTAAATTGTATAATAATTCTTATGCTTTTTAAATGATAAAAATGTTCTGTGTTATTAAGCCTGTCTGTTAGGAATAACTGTGCATTATATCCTTTAGCAAAATGCTGCATGTATGTTTGCATATTCACACCATTTCAGAACTGAAACTGGGGATTCAATGTAGGAATTATTTCTTTGCTAATATATTTAAATATCATTTTTATAGTACTAATAATGCTTATTTATTAAAGTCTAAAAATTATTCATCATATTATATTTATTTTTAAAAATAGTAATTATACTAAAATTTTACAAATATTAAATGTAGTAGAAATTTGCACCTGAAAAGGCTGCAAAGTAATTTTAAACTTAAATAATTTTTGCTCACAGAAATAATGAATTAAAATTTACTGTGATAGCATTTTGAAAGTTGGGGGGAGAGGGAATTGAATGCATTTATCAGCAGCTATAATTGAATAAACTATAGTTTCATTGAGGTAAATGAATCAAGAACTGCATAAAGTTTTTTAAAAAGTACTGTACAGTATTTTCTGTAATGAAAAGCCCCCAACATAGTCTTTTGGATTAAAAAAGAGTACAGGTTAGCATTTGTTAAGAAAAATATATGGTACAAACTGTTCATAATATTTTTCTTAAATAGTATTAGATGTTTCTTCCACTACAGAGAACATTATGTAGTGTTTTCTAGAATATTTCTTTTTCTTGATTTATTTTCTCTTCAGAAACTCTGATTAATTCATTTGTTATATGCTGAAGAAGAAAGAGCTGTTAAAATTTTTTATGTACATCCAGTGTGCATTTTCTCCTAATGTGCAGTTTTTTGTTGAAAAACTTGTTTATTTTTTATATCACCCTTTCTTAAAATAGCAGAAATTTAGATATCAGCTTCTGGCACTTACAGTGTGCAATAAAAATCTACTTAGTTCTACTCTTTAAACTAGACAAATGATAAAAATGTTTCTGTATTTAAATATGAAAGCCTCTAGTTTCATACTAGAGTAATTAAATGTTTTGATACAATTTTGTTATCTCCAATTAAAATAGTAGTAATATTTTTAAGTTTAATCATGGACTATTAATTAATAGATGAACATTTCTGTGCTTTAGACTCTTTTAATGAATTGTAGCATGAAATGCCTTCTCTACTCAACATTTAAATTCTTGTAAGTAATTGAAAGTTCTCTTTTTATTTTTCTTCACCACAAGCAGTATCAATGGTTTATCTTGGAAATGGTATAATTACTCCAAAAACTTTTATTTTCTTTCCATTTATATTAATTTCTTTGATATTTTATTTCCCTTCCCCCTGATATTTGAAGTATCAACAATTAATATTTATGCTGCATAATAAAATAATACAAGCATAAAATTTTAACCTCCATAAGAGCGTGTTGCTGATCTATTTCTAATATACATGCTATAATGTTGTATGGTATTATTTGAATTGGATTCATACTTCTTTAATCCCCATCTTTGAGTTTTAATTTTACAAGTCTGCTGACAATCTATATTTAATATTAAAAATTAGTCACACAAAATGTTCTTTATTGTGTATTCTTTCCAATTATAATAACATGAAGCTTTTGATAAATTGCAATCAAATACTGTAGTTTTTTTTTTTTTTTTTTTTTTTTTTTTTTTTTTTTTTACCATATATGTACCATATATTATCCTATTTTTGATATTTTCATTGCTTCACAAGCTGAAGTAGTGTTTCATTTCACAAGCCTTGCATTTAATATTTTGTATATTAAACTACTTTGATATAATTTAATTCCTTGTATTCTGTTAGGGGAATCTGCAGTTTTTTCCCTCCCAGTACCGTTCAATATCTTTTTATAAATTGTGTATAAATACAATTTTACATTACTGTCAATGACTTTCACTTGAAATGTATAAAAAATTATCATTTAGTTAAACACAGAATACTATTTTACATGTGTAACTAATGTATTAAAAACTGTGGTTATCTAAAATATTGATTAATTTAATAACATTAATGAAATATGGTTCTCAGCTGTGAAGGATATGTTGAACACAAGCATGTCAAAAATGTAATAATTCATTTCTAGAACATTATTATAAAATAAAAATTGTCAAATGTTAAAACAGAGTTCAGGATATTAAGAAAAAGGAAATTATACCAAATAGCTAGATTAATATTATTTTTTAAATTATATAATTCCCAGAGAACTTGGATATATGTTTTATTATTTTACAGCAGACTTCTTAAAATGGTTACCAGTCACTTCAAATGATTATTGCTAAATTTGATCTTTGTAAAATCTCAATTTCTTACTTATAGCTTAATTTCTTTTGATAGCAATAAATATACAGTATAATATCACATGCTTCCTTTCTAAGCACTATAAATTATACTATTTAAGTTGGTCTGCATAACATGTTTGAACATAAGAAATACTTTGGGTAATTTAATGGAGAATCAAATACGTACATTTATAAGCCAGTTAATATAACTGTGCATATAATATTCACAAATTATAGCAATTCTCTTTATATAATGATAAAATTAATTGATAATTTATTGTAATTCTTTTGCATCATTATTCAAACAAACCTAATTTAAATTTATATTTCATGAAAATTTATAAAAGTGAAAAAAAAAGCTTATCATAAAATATGTTTTGAAAACATTTTAAGAGTAAAGAACTGATGTGAGTATTAACTTATTTTGTAGATTTTCAGTTTGTTCAGATTCCTAATCAAAATTCAAAGTTAACCTAAATTCAGGCTTCCTAAACTTAGCAAGCATAGAAAATGTGTTTTTCCAGATCTCCCGAATTCTGGTCAGTGACTCACAGACTTTTGGAAAATATAAGCACATTAAAGTATATATCCAAAATGCTTTTTATTCACCATATGCAATGTATGGTGTGTTATGTTTTACATTAAATAACTAAGCATTTCACTTTCTACATTATGTAAGACATAATCCTGAACACATTATATTAGCATTACATAAAAAGAATTTTCTACAAGTATTTAAAAAAAAGCAAAATGTATATTGATTTTTTTTTTTTTTTTAAAGTTTGGCTGTGTGAAATAGTCTTATTTTTAAGACTGAAAGTTTGTTTTCAGATTGGCTGGCAAAAATGTATGCAGAAATTAAAATGTGAAATTTGTTGAATGTCTAAAATGAAAATTGTTGATGTTAACTTTATTAAATGTATTATTTTATTAGTAATTTGTTTGGAAACTGTTGATAATATATGTACTTCTTGCTGGGAGTTCCTTTCTTCTAACATGAGTTTTAATTTTTTTTTAATTCTCATTATTTTAATATTCTATATTCATTTATAAAATACAATTAGTTGTGCTTATAGACTAAAAAAAGTAGCTGTGATCTTAATATTCAGTAATCAATTAAAAAGGGTTTAAATTACTTGTATTTGAAAAAATTCTAAGACTGTTAATAGAATTGACTTTTAATTATGTTTTTGGAAATTGAATTTCTATCATTCTTGTCGTTATATTCTGCTGCAATACTTGCTTCTGGTGAAATAATTTTACTGTGAAATTTTGTCTGAATGATGTTCATTAAATTAGCTGAGAATCGTTTTTCATAGTGTACTATACGTGTAATGCAATGCATATTTATGTATTTCTTTTAAATTGCAATGTGTGTTGGTGGAAAAATTTATCATTATTTCATATATCACCTTCTCTTAATAAATATCAAAAATGTAAATTTTTGTAGGCTGAAATATAGTTTATTTTTTCTGTTAATAAGGCAATGCATATGTTATCTTTTGTTTCGGTATTTAAAAAGAATTGCGGAAATTTGTTTAATATTATAATTTTTAGAAGTTTTTAAGCTTTAATTGTTATATCAAACTATTTATTATAAATGCTTTGAACTGCTTGTTGTACACTCACATTGATGCATATTAAAGGCTAGGTTCCTGAAGTTGGTGGCTGAGTGTTTTATATAAGCACATAATGCTTTTTTTAGCTAATTGTGATAGCCAATGTTCAATCCCAAGGAGACTTTGTGTTTTTTTAATTATTGATGCTGAACTTTATTTTTATACCTGCTTTAAAAATGTGATTAAATAGTGGTGTTCATTATCCAGTAAATAAAGTTCAGCCTCAGTTAGCTTATTTATGGATTGCCTGTTTTTTTTTTTTTTTTTTTTTTTTTTTTTTTGTGTGTGTGTGTGTTACATTAAGTTTTGGTTAAGTTTATAATTCTATTTGCATGCAGTCTTTAAGATCCAGTACTGTTGACTCTTGATGTACAAACAATACTGACTTGGTTTATATTGTGGTAATTTGTAATGTTAAATTTGTAATTCTTTTAACCTCATGTTAAAGTATGCATTGTTGTTGCAACCATAAAAAGGAAACTATATGTCTCCACATGCCAGAAAAATTTTATAAATCAGGAGTCAACTGTAATGGACTATTTTAATTGCTCAACTTTAAGTCCAGTCATCTTGCATTCTAATCAATGAACAATTCCCATAATTTTATTCAATTACATTAAGTATATATTTTATATTTATTTGTGTCACTGTTGTTAAGATGAATATTTTACATTTGTTTATCCAAAACTTAAAATTTTTTTATAAAAGCAATGCAATTCATAAAGCTATTTATCTCGCTTCAATATTTGTGATTTTAGTTTCTTAAAGTTAACATTGTGGAGTAAAATTTATTGCCGTCAATATTATATTATGAATTGACTTTTTTATTAAAAATATTTACTCTTCATGTCTCTATTCAATGTGATGTGTTTGCATATAACTTTATTCTCAAATCAAGTAATTTTTCTCATTCAAAAAAACTTCTTATCCCTTTAAAATAATGCATTTATGGTTAAGTTACCTGAATATGGGAAAGTACACAAGAGCTATCTGCCTAAGAGGAGGGTGGCTTAGAAACTTGATTGTGTTCTAAGGGAATGAAAACCAAATATGCAGCCAGCTCCTTTGTTTGGGATCGAAACTGCTCAACCTGGGTCGAACTTATAGTATTTGATGGTTTAACTACTTGGCCACTGGTGTGGCTTGACAAATTTAATCTTCATTTAAATCCAAAATAATACCTATAACATCATTATTAATTATTTGAACTCGGTGGTTCTAAGGATCATTCTGTTTTTAACTGTACAAATGTAAATGTATTTCTTTTTAACTCTTAGTTGATGATTTGCTGTTAGTCTGTTAATATTAAAATATACTTAAACTGAATTTCCTTGGAAGAAATGTCTTAAACTTTTATATTAATATAGGCTTAAAAATCCTTAAAAATCATTAATTTCAGTCAAAATCACCAAAAGGTTCTTAATTTTATTCATCAGACATTTCTTTCCATTTTTTATGACTGCCATTCTGAGTGTGAATTACCATTTTAAAGAAATATATTTTGGCAAATTTATATTTCATGGTTAATGTTTGAATTCTTTCCAACTTCTTAATATAAATGGTAGATACTCGACTTTTAGGCACGAGGCCCCCTCTTCAATTGAAACGTAAAACATTTCAAAATAATTTATTTTTTTCGAATAGTTCATAAATTGTTACATTAAAAACAACTTTTCCCTTTGGGGTATGAAAGTTCTTTTATTATGTGGCTCTAAATTTGGACATTTTTATTTTCTATGGCATATTTTAAGGTGACATTGCTTTCCATTTTGGTAAATTAGGAATATTTTGATTCTAAAAAAACAAGCTAATTAATGCTATATATAAAACACAGTTTCCAAAACACTTAGAAAAAACAAAAAAAGCTACTGTAATTATTTTAAATTACCTAATATCATTTGTCTTCTTTTATATTTTTTCATGATAAAGCCCAGATACATAAAATAATTATGCGGAACTGGAACGCCAACTCAGCAGGAGCTTTCACTATTGGACAGTCACAGCTCAGGTGGCTGGCTGGCAACTCAGACAGCATTTATTGAATCAAAGGTAAAACTACAAAATCACAATGTTATGCTCTTCAAAATTACAAAGTTAATTCCCCATTACGTACAGTGAATACGTGCACACGTTATGTACTACGTCCCAAAAATGCAATACCTCATTCAAAACTCTGAGTAACATGTCTCTTTACAAAAAATTATGGAAAATCCTATTCTGCTATGTTATAGACGGTTAGAGTCACATGCCATAGTGTTGCCCTAATGAAATATAAATAGGACATGTTTAGGCTCTGTAGATGTACTTTGCAGTTCAATATCAATTAATCCACAAATTAATAATGGGAAAATACCACAAGATGTGTCCAGATTAGTGAGGAAAAGGTTAAGTATGAATTATGATACTATTGTGCTTACATACAATATTATACATAGACACTAAATATGAAGAAAAAATTATATGCAAATATTAACAATAAAATGCTTATGTATAAGTATTAAATCAATTCATAGTATTAAAATATTTACAGTGCAGGTATACATATATAATCTTAATACATATAATAAATAGGCTCACCTAAATTAATTTACATAAGCTATGATTAATTTACCGACTAATTACACTTCTGGCTCGTGGAATACTTCTTGCACAGTCTTCCAGAATAATCTTTATCCTTTATGCAAGTCTATTCCGTTTTTAAATTTTGGAACCACTGCATCCAAAAGTTATTGTGGGCTGTTCCAATCTCTGCGGGCAGAAGAATACCAAGGTGATCAGAGTCGTCTTCTTTTCCACATTCGCAGTTTCGTTCCACTCTTGAGTCCAAACCTGCTAAGATAGGATAGGAAGTGCACATGCCCCGTAAGGTAAGTTACTCGATGGCTAGACTTCTAATGAGACTTTTGAAATGAATCTATTCAATCTCCGGCCACATCCCATTCAGCTTGTTACCTTTCATTTGTTGATCTAGGCTTTGCCTTTTTGAGTATGGGGGAGGTTTGAGGTAGAGGGGGCCTGATCTTCCCCAGTTATCCTTAGCGAGGGGCGTTTTTCTAACTCGTTGATAAGGAGAACTTGCATGAAATTTTGTTTAAGCAATCTGTGTTCCTCTAGATCATCTCCGGGATTACACGCCTGGAAGCGATTTTCCAATAAGAATCTGAATACTTGGGCATTAGAACTTACTGAAAGGAGGATACTTCTGAGGGTCGTGTAAGGACGAAAACCTCTTTGCTGCAACTTTTTGTGCGTTCGACCATAGACCACTGTGACTGAGCCACAAAAATTTTTCCTGTACCAAATTAAATTATATTTAGACATTTAACTACATGGTTGTAAAGGTTGGTTCTTGTTAGATTTAGAATTTAAAATCTTAGTGAAGATCATTAAAAGCCACAGTTGTGATTACCTAAATTCTGGTGGGGGAAAGTGTAAGGTTCTTATTTTAAAATAACCAGTTCATTTGGATGACCATGATTTGATTGATAACCAGTTGATTTATGATTTGTCAGCTTTACTTCAGCTTCTTCTTTCTATATTCCTTACGAGAATGCAAATTAACTGGTTGTATATTTGTTTAAGCTGAGGTTTTTGGATCTTAAGAGAGGGTGTTTCTGGCAGCGCATTACGCGGTTAGATTTTGCCAGCTCTAATTAAACGTAAGTATCTCGGCTTTGCGTCCTCTCGCACTTTAATCCGACGCTCCGATAATTTATTGAGCCAGCTTATAGTTTAATATTTAATTATGTAGTCTTAGAATATGGATCGAAGTTTAATCTGAATTGACTGTTCTTATTTTAATTTGAATTTCCAGAAGAATTCCTATGCGGCTATTTGTAACACAAAGTCGTGCCCTTATGTTCAGAGTTCGGAGTTTAAATAAAAACCAGTGTTTTAAAACCTTCGTAAGATCTCGGACATAACGATAACTCGCTATATGTGTGTTATAGTACTAAAGTAGCAGTACTAGACCATATATAACCTTATACCTGTCTGTTGGGCATATCATACTGTGACAGAAACTTGTCGTTCAAACTGAGGTACATTGTCCAATAGTTACCTCTAAAAGCGGAGCATACACCGCCTTCATTCTTTACACGCCCATGATTCATCAGGCTGCGTATATCTATATTCCTTTCCACACCGAATGCAAAGCGGTCGCCTACTTGGTCTTTCGGCTTCTGTTTGTTCGTTCTACTGTTTAATTTCTTTGCTTCATCTTTAATTTTTGCATGTCAGATCTAAATGGTCTCAAGCTTATTTGAAGTACCACGTAAAACTCTTTGAAACTTCAAAATCTGTCTCTTCTGAGAAAAGCCTTATTATCACCTAACCCGGGCCGCGTATTTTTACTTCCTCCCTAGGAAACGCAACCCGCGACTAAATTTGGCGATTTATCAGGTCTTGGCGAAATTATGACACCAAGCGCATGCGCAAAAGAAAATAAAGCTGTCTGTTTATGTTTTGGGAAATGAATTTTATAAAGTTTTATTTGATGGATATTCCTACGAAGTAGTGTCTTCCATGTGTGTCAACATGCAAGACTAAATAAATTTGGGTATTCATCATGATAACGTTCCTAAGTATACAGCTCTCAACGTTCGCCTGTAGTGTCTCTATAATTGTCCACAGGTTTTGAAAACACCACCTCAGTCGCCAGGTTTAAACCCCATAGAACACATTTGGAGAGAGCTGGAGGTTTACGAAAACACAACATCAAAACAGCCATGATGGATGTACAATAGAAATTACAAAAAAAAAAAAAAAAAAATAGTAAAATCTATTCCCAGACGTTTAAAAGCTGTTGTGGATGCTAAAGGATATCCTACTAATATTAATTTAACAAAAAATGAAAATATTTACTAATATGTCAAGATTTTTTTGAAGTGTACGAAGACTTTTGTGAGATAAAATGTTTGTCATTTTTTGATTATTAATTTCATAAAAATAAAGTTTCGCTATATTTTAAAAATATTTCATGTACTTTTGTTATGAATAGAATATAGATCTTATTATTAAAATCTCATTCAGAAAGTTTACTTTTAATTAATGGATAGAGCCCTATTTCAATGAAAATTATATAAGTGTGTGAAAACTTTTGGGAGTCACTGTATATATAAAGGAAAATATATCACACTTGGTAAGTGTTAGTATATGTTGTAAACTAGACAACGGAAGCAAAAACCAAAAGAAGCAAACAAAGGAAGATGAACTGAGTTAAATAAAAACTGTTAAAATAAGTAACATTATTAACTTTTATACATCCACTTGATATTTTATAAGAAACAAAACATATCTTAACAGAATTATCTAATAGGTAAACATATACAATACATATTATAGTTGCAGAGTTATTAGTACTGAACTATATAGGCTAAACTAAGAATAGTCCTTATTAAATTAGAAAGAATTATTATTATTTTATTGTTCACTTGAGCTCATGCTCAGCTAAAAGGTTTCCCCCTCCCCCCCGTGTATACCTAATATTTATCTTTACTGTAATGCGACCACGCTAACCATATGCAGTTCTAGTAACTGCCAATAGCTCGACACGTAGTCAAGCCATAAAAAAAGCACCATAAGTAGACTCTGTTGAAAAATGAACCGCCATTTTTCTTTATTTAATACCCCCCACTAATCATAGATGAAGTTTGCTGCTTCAGTAATTATGTTTGACACATGCACAATTTCATTCAAACCGTCATTACGAAATACCGGCAATCAAGTATCACGGTACAAAACACGACATATCATCACGATAGTTCGTCCATTTCTGCGCATGCGCTAGCCACACAATTTCGCCTAGACCTCGTAAATCGCCAAATTTAGTCGCCGGTTGCGTTTCCT